AGGTTCGGGTTCCCTTTCTATGGGCAATAGGAAGGTCAAGATCAAGATTTTGTTCAGGGATAACAGGGGCTGGTTCCAACAAAGGTTTAGGTGTAGAGTTCTCTTTCCTAGAATCTGACTATAAATTTAAGTCAATAATAGGAGAGGAAGAAGAAGGAACAGAAGAAGGATTACCTGAGGTATTTGAATGACCATTGCTCAGGGCTTCCGGTTGACCACATGCTGGAATAATGGCCTGGTCTCTACCACCTCTAAGGACACCTTTCCTGGAATAAACCATAGGCTCAAGATTGTTTCTATTTTTTTCCATTCGTAGTAATTTCTTTTTCTGTCAGACCAATATCAGTTTTGGTTTCTTTAGGCCTAGTTTCCAAAGTTTCTTTTTCAAAAAAAGTATCAAGAAGTGTGCTAGGTATGGGTTCGGCAATTTCCCAGAAATTTGGTTTGGTTCAACTATCTTCTCCCCCTGAAGCAAATTTTTGGTAAAGTATGGTGTATTTTCCATGAAAGAAACATCCATAGTGACAAAAAAACGTTTTGTAAGGGGATTAAAACATTTGTAACCCTTTTTATTGAGTGCATACCCTACAAAAACACATTTTTTAGCTCTTGGATCTAATTTAGACCTGAGCCTTTTTAGAGTGTGCACATATGCCGTGCAGCCAAATATTTTTAAGGGTAAGTCAGAATTGATTCTAGATTCTGGGAATACCTTTTTAAGCAATCCAGAGGGGTGATATATTGTAAGACTTTGGTAGGCATCCTGTTGATTAGATACGAAGCTGTCAATATAGCATCACCCCCATAGATACTTTGGAACATTCCTATAAAACATCATGGCTCTAGCTACTTCTAACAAATGCTTGTTCTTACGCTCAGCAATGCCATTTTTTTCAGGTGTGTCGGAACAAGAGGATTGATGTAAAATTCCTTTTTCATTTAAAAAGGTTTCCAAAACTTTATTAAAATACTCTGTTCCATTGTCATATCTCAAAATATTAATTTTTGTTTGAAACTGAGTTTCAATCATCTTATAAAATTCTTTAAAAATCTGCTCTACATCATATTTTTCCCTCATTAAGTAAACCCAACAAAGACGTGTATGATCATCAATAAAAGTCACAAACCATTTTTTTCTAGAAATTGTGGTCACTTTTGAAGGACCCCAAACATCACTATGGAATAAGTAAAACGGTTTTGAAGCCTTGTAGGATTTCGGAATATAAGACTTTCTTTGACTTTTTGCCATTAAGCAACTCTCACATTGAAACGATGAAGGATCAATCCCTTTAAATAGCATTGGAAATAAATGTTTTAGATAAGAGAAACTTGGATGGCCTAAACGACAATACCAAACCATTATTTGATCACGTACAGATAAAGAACTGATACTACTCAGCCCTTGAACCATTTTATTACTAAGAAATTTATCCTCAAAATAATAGAGACCATTAATCATCCTAGCACTGCCAATTGTCTTCCCCGAGCTCCGGTCCTGAAAAATGCAATAGGATTCATAGAAAATAACATAACAGTTAGAGTCTCTGGATAATCTACTAACTGACAAGAGATTACAAGCAAGTTTAGGGACATAGAGAACAAATTTAAGATCTATTCCCTCAGAAATTTTTATAAGGCCTTTTCCTACAATTGGTGAGAAATTACCATCGGCTATCCTAACCTTCTTATTTCCGGGACATGGTGAATAAGTCTCAAACAAATGTAAGGAATTGGTCATATGGTCGGATGCTCCAGAATCTATTATCCATGGAGCAGATTTAAATTGACAAGATAGAGCATAGAATTTATTACCTGTGTGTGCCACAGAAACATTAGGAACATTGGGTACCGAGTTAGATTTAAACAGTGCAAGAAGATGCTCCATCTGCTCCTTCATGAAGGGGTTGGTCTCGACCTCATTAGCAGTAGGGATGGCAGCTTCTCCTTTCCAATTCGCAGGTTTCCCATGAATTTTCCAGCATGTCTCACGGGTATGGCGAGGCTTATTTGCAGAAATCACACCAAACTCGCTGCTTTTCATCAGTTTTGCGTTGAAAAATAGGAGCCTTGCTTCCAGCCGTGGAGACCAGGGCAGAACCTTCAGCAATTCCAGGTCCCTTCTTGCCAAGCATCACATTCCTCCTAGTCTCCTCTCTTCTGACCTCTGAAAAAACTTCACCAATTGAACGTAGGGGCGGTCTTCCAATAATTCTCCCCCTCACCTCATCAAACTCGACATTAAGTCCAGCCAGAAACTTGAAGATGCGGCTATCCTCTACAGTCTTCTTGTGATGTTGAGCATCCTCGGGAGATTTCCACTCATAGGTGTTGAAGAGGTCAAGGTCTTGCCAAAACCGCTTCAAGGAATGAAAAAATTTTGTGACACTGTCCTCCCCTTGTCGCATCCCTTCGATTTTGAGGGTCAACTCAAAAATCTGTGATTGATTTCCAAGATCGGAATACATTTGATTTACATTCTCCCAAAGCTCTCGTGCCGTTGGATAGCACATATAATTAGAGCCAATATCTTCTTCCATTGAATTCACGAGCCACGTCATCACCATGGAATTCTCGGCATCCCATGTAGCATAGGCCGGATCATCCTCTGCAGGAGCCTTCTTTTCACCAGTCAAATAGCCCATTTTCCCACGCCCTCTAATGTACATCCTAACCGACTGAGACCATCTCAGAAAATTGTCACCATTCAAACGAATTGTGGTGATATGAACAGAATGAGATTTTGAGGAGGTAGCACTGATTTTTGAAACATCTGTGCTGCTAGGATTGTTCAGGGAGGATTGAGGTTGGCTCCCCGCTTCTTTGGTCGTTATGCGGTGGAACAACAGATTGGTAAGGTGACTTACCGATTGTGGCTGCCTGATTCAACCCAAATCCACCCGGTTTTCCATGTTTCCCAACTCAAGCGTTGTTTGGGATCTACTAAGGCCTCTCAGGAGCTCCCTACTTAGCTTACCGCAGACATGGAAATGTCGATGGAACCAGTGGAGGTTTTAGGCGTTCGCCAACTTCTGGATGGCAATTTGGGTGATGTGGAAGTGTTGATTAATTGGCAGGGAATGCCCGCCTTTGTTGCCACATGGGAATCCTTTTCGACTATCCAACATCATTTTCCCTCTTTTCACCTTGAGGACAAGGTGCAAGTTTGGGCGGCGGGTAATGATAAGCCACTGGTGCATTTCACTTGCGTGAGGAGGAATAAAAGGCAAGCGCAAAATGGGAACTCTGAGGCAAGGCTGTCTAATGTAGAGTGATTGGGAAGTAGGAATAACGGTTTTTAGGCGGGAAATAAGGGTGATATAAAAGAGTGAAAGTGAAGGGGGAGAGTAGAGAATTGTTTTGTGAGAAGTTTGGAGAGTTCAGGTCTCTCGAATACCTAATTGTGAGAAAAGTGTTCGAGAATAAATTGTTTCATTCTTCCGATTGTATGCTTAATTCAATAACACTCGCATAATAAAATCTTTTACCTTCGATTCTGTATCAAAAAGAACTACAGATTCCCATCGAGAGCCCAATGAAGATGTTTTGTGATAACCAAGCTCAATAAACATTGCAAAGAACCCCATTCACCATGACAGGACAAAACACATGAAAATTGACAAGCACTTCATCAAATAGAAGATAGGAGTAATCGAGATGGTCTATACACCCACAACTCTATAAACTGCCAACATCCTTACAAAGGCTCTATCAAGAATCAACGTCAAGAACTTGACAACCAAGCTCGGAATGATTGGCATTTACCACCATGAGGAGGAGTGTGGACATCCAAAGTTGATTACCTAATCACTAGGACAAGTCCGAGTAAATCTTGGATTGACTTTTGTATATTGGCTCAATTTTATTCTTTCCTTTCTAGCAAATTAGTTTCCAATTTCTAGGAGTGATTTGATTGGACTAGTATCATGTTTTTCCTTTTTTTTTTCTTTGTCCTAGAATAAAGGGAGGTTATTACCATGATGGTTGCCTTGCCTATTTATCTGGTATCTGCTTCAAGTGTTAATTAATCAGACAAAAATATTTTTTTCTTCCAAAAACTTCTTGTTGATTTTAGCATTGAAAACCATAAGTTTCATCAGATTAAACATGTACCAAATAGAGAAATAAACTTATGACATTCAACTGAAACCCATTCAGATCATATAATGGAATGCAGAAGAGATGTACACATCTAGAGAATAGTCGCCACATAATTATGGTCTGTCTTTTTTTTATTAAAAAACTAACAATTAAGATGATTTACCAAGAAATGAACATATGCCATGATAACACGAACCAAGTAAACTGCATCTGTAAAAATCAGGAAAGTAGGCTAAAGTTATGGACCGGATGTGTACCAATCCGGTTAATGGGGGCTTAGAGATAAATTAGGAAAGTAGTTTATCTTTTCAACTTTTAAAGAGATTTCTTGAGATAAGGATCTCATTTATTTTAGGGATTTAGTTTCCTTTTCCGTGGGATATACTTTCCCATTCCTATAGGATAGTTTTCCTATAAATACTCTAATCCTTGTAACAAAATTAATCAATGAAATATACTTTCTTTTCTGCCCTAAAAAACCTACAGCATCAACAACTCTTAGGAAGTCCCAAAAAGATCTCATATCCCAAAAGGTTCAAGAATTAAAATATGGGAATAAATATAGTAGTGTACTGCCTTCTTAGAAATCTTTGTAACCTAAAATCAAGAATCAGAAAGTATATTAAAAATAAAAAATCCTTGCATGGTGTGTGTCATGTACAAATTTCAGTTTGAGTCAAGCTAAAAGAATGTTGCTTTTGACTTTTAAAATACTAGAGTAACTAGGAACAAATTTTATACTCGATAACCTTCAGACTAAGAGAGAACATTAACATTTAAGGAAAGACCAGAGCAACCCAACAAGTTGTACAGTATTAATAATCAGTAAGATGTTATCACACCAAGTAGAGTTTGAAACATTGTGGATAAGAATAGAATCACCAAAACATAAAAAAGCCCACCTCTAATACTCGCTTCCTTGTAAATGATAAATGCCCATTTCCAACCTCAGAGCGAAGAGCTTTAACCAGATCTAGCGAACCTTCCCATAACTTTAGTCCCCCTACATCACAAACCAAGAATTAAAAAAAAAAAGACGCACATAAACACAGAGGAAAAAATGAAAATAAAGGATTTCAAGTACAGGCAGGTTAATATTAGAGCATAGGTAAAAAAAACAAGCACGTCTTAATCAATGACTTGAAATGAAATCTATAAGAAATGACAAAATCACTACTAAGAAAGAATGCAATAATAAACAAAAGAACTGTGAAGAAACAACAAAGTAAGTGGAGAATTCTTTTCACCTTCATATTTGCCAGGGACTAAATCAGAGTTGGACAAAGCAAAAACCTCTTTAGTACTAACTCGGCCCTAAAAGAAAGCACCAGAAAAACCACTCATCAAAGTCAAATTTAAGCCAACAATACTGTACAATCTAAGTCGAGTAATTTCTCACAATATCTACCATTTCTGTCTATTCTCTAACAAAAAGGAATGCCAAAAACACAAGCTAGCCAATAGAATCTTCTGCCATTCGGTATTGCTTTTGCTTATGTTTTTACTCGATACAAAAAGATAAGTAAAAGTTATGACTTTTCAGTTAGTGTTTAGAATCACATTTTGGAAGAGTTTAATAGAACAGAAATAATATCTAAATTGTTTTATAAGCACTAAAGATGTCAGGACAAAGTTTATAAAATCTTATTATAGCTGTGTTACGAGGTTTAAAGTCTTTTAAACTAACTTTTTTGATAATTCATTTTTTGTGGCTTTAAGTGAAAGCTTTTCTAAAGGACCACGCTTCTTCATTGACGTCCAATATACTCTTTATATATATATATATATATATATAATAAACGTCCAACATACCCTGAGAAACAGTTTTTTGAGTCATGAAACCAAAAGCAGCTTTCGAGAAGCGATGCCAAACATGGGGGAAAAAGATCCTTAGTAGCTCAATACTCCAAAAGCTCAAGGAAATACAAATAAACATAACCCAAAATTTTCTCTCTTTCAAATTCCAGTCATTTGTCTCCACTTTTCTTCAAGAAAGTCACAAAAGCAAAGAAAGAACTAGCTAGACAATAGAACACAAACCAGTTGTTCAATGCTATCTAATTCTGTCTATTATCTAAGAAAAGTAAATGTCAAGAACACAAAACTACTCTAGAATCTTAGTCCAAAACTTTTATGAGCATTTAAGTTGTTCGATGCTACAAAAGGTCAAGGAATTAAATGTAATCCAAACTTTTCTTTCTGTCAAATTCCTCCATTTATTTCTCTCAAATTTTCTTCAAGAAACCAATGTAAGCAAAGAAAAATCTTACCTTGAGCAAAGTAAGTCCGTCCAAGTTCACAGGCTCCACAGTGTATTTCACAGAAGACGATGCCTATTTCAGTGCAAACTCTCAAAATTGTCAAGAGGATTCTCAATTTGTCTTCAAAACCCTAAAATCAACAAACGGCGCGTGTACTATACATGCATGAATAACATAAACAAATTGAGAATACCTCGGTGGGAAGAACTTCGACGCAAGGAGGCGGAGGCGGCACCGCCGGAGAGTCATAAAAGCCGAAGCCAAAATTGAAATTTCCGCCAAAAGAAGAGAAAAGACGAAAGGTTTCCGAGCTCCGATTCTGGTAATCATATGAAGAAAAACGCAATCATTTTCAGTGTACGAGAAGGCGGAGAATAGAAATCCATGGTGTCGAGTGTGGATATGAGAAGAAGAAGACGATGTCGGTGGAACAGACCTCGGAGTTTGCCGCCATTGTTGGCTTGCTCTTCTGCTGTCCGGTCTCAGTTCTCAGACAAAATTTGTAGCGGCGGAAGACGAGCTTATTTGGAACTGCAATTATTGGGGGGTTTTAGGAAAAGTTTTTGGCCAAATTAGACCTGTGAAGTGGCCTTCGTAAAAATAACTTTTTTAAAAAATTTTATTAGTAAAATATTTTTTTTAAAATTTTTATTTGTAAAATGATCTCATTTTATAAAGAATGAGTAAATATCTTTTTTTATAAAAAATAAAAAAATGTTATTTTATTAATTTTACTTTGTTGAAAAGTCATTTCAGCATATTACTCGTTAAGTGAGTTAAAAATTGAGTTGAAGTTGTAATTTGAATTTGTGTTTAGTTATATACATTTGAGTTATGATTTGAAATAAGAATCTTTTTAAATTTGTGTTTAAGTGAGTTAAAATTTGAATTTATATTTATATAGTATTTTAATAAAAACTCAATAATAATGAAAAATTTTAATAGGATATATTAGTAGGGTTTTATTCATCTTTTCGTTGTCAACGCATAAAAAAATCATCTCAATAAGAATTAAAACGAAAAAGTTATAGCATTTTTAAGAATAGAAAAAATACTGTTCATTACTTTGAGTTCGAGTTTCTGAACTCGAATTAAAGGAAAAACTTGAACTCGAGTTTTAATCACAAACTCAAGTTCAAACTTAAAAAAACGTAAACCTGAATTAAATTATAACTCGAATTGTCTTTTTTTTTAGTTTTTGTTGTTTCCGAACAACCCCTTAGAATTGGCCGAATTATAACTCTAGAATTGAAGGGAGGCCTTTGTAAAAATAACCTAATAGAAAAGTTTTATTTGCAAAATGACAAATCAAAAATTTTTATTTACAAAATGACTTTTTTTTTTAAATATGACAAATAAATAATAATTAATGACATTTAATCCGATGAGATGGCAAATTTAACTAGATGAGAGGAAAGAAAAACGGAAAAAAAAAAACAAAAAAAAACAAAAAAAAGAACCCAATGAAGCTCGTTTCTCCTCCTCACGAAGGTGCTCAGTCATGGCAAATTCTCCAATTTTCTTTTTATTTCTTCACATTCATTCTCCCCAGCTATCAAAGCTCTAGATCCGTAAGATTGAAGAAATTTTTGTCATATTTTGTTTGATTAAGTGTTTTAAAGAAGAAGAAATTATTGGAAGAACTTTTTGGAGAACAAAATTTAGAACCTCAAGGTTAGTTTTTTGTCATAAATCTCTTTGAATTCGCGTGAATGACTGAGGTCGTTCAAAGTGGGTTGCGCGCGACCATCATTCTAGGTCGCGCGCGACCATCATTCTGGGTTGCGCGGGGTCGCGCGCGACCATCATCCAGGAGGAACGACCTGGATTTCTTTTTGCGCGACCGTAGCCTAGTGATGGTCGCGCATCTATTTCTTTCCAAAGCGACTCCAAGCAACCTAAGAAATTTTGTTGGTCGTTCGGAGTAATTCGTTGTCGTTCGGGGTCGCGCGAATGACAGAGGTCGTTCAAAGTGGGTCGCGCACGACCATCATCCAGGAGGAACGACCTGGATTTCTATTCGCGCGACCATAGCCTAGTGATGGTCGCGCATCTTTTTCTTTCCGGAACGACTCCAAGCGACCTAAGAAATTTTGTTGGTCGTTCGGAGTAATTCGTAGTCGTTCAGGGTCGCGCGAATGACGAAGGTTGTTCAAAGTGGGTCACGCGCGACCATCATCCAGGAGGAACGACCTGGATTTCTATTCGCGTGACCATAGCCTAGTGATGGTTGCGCGTCTTTTTCTTTCCCAAACGACTCCAAGCGACCTTAGAAATTTGTTGGTCGTTCGGAGTAATTCGGGGTCGTTCGGAGTCGCACTGAATTTTTTTTAATATTAATTTTGTTTATATTTGTGATATAATTTTTGAATTTATGTTTTTCTTTTAACAATTATATTTCAAAATTCATTATAGGTATGCCTCCAATCTACGTCTTTCTAGAGTACGATGGTGAATGGAAAAAGGTGGAGAGCGGATATTGGGAATGGTTTGGAAGTGGTTTAACCAGAGGCTTTTTAGTTGATAGAAGCACCACATTTGTTGAATGAGTAGATACAGTCTATGAAAGAACGAGTATTGATCGAAGTAAGTATGCAATTAAAATTACACATAAGTGCATTGGTGACTCGTTTAGTAAGATTGCACCAACTCTTATTTCCAGTAATTTGGATGTTATGGATCTTACGTTTTTGTACGAGAATGAAAAAGCAATTACCCTGCATGTTATGCTTAAAGAGAACAGTGAGAAAGATAAAGCAATATTTGTTGTTAATGACGATAATATTAACATTGATAACAATCTCGTGGGAGACCTCTGTGATGATTATTTTAGGTGTCCAGGGCCACTAGTAGTATGTGCTGAAGAGGATATTTTTGGTCCTAATATACGTGCATTACAGTAAAATAAACAGAACACCGACAGAAATCCAATGCCGATCACCGGTTCCAATCCAACACCGATCACTAGTTCCAATCCAACTCCGGAGGAAACAATGCGGGAGAAAGTACCTGATGAAGGTGACAATTTACCTGAGGGAAGTGGTGATGTAATTGATGAAACAATTCATGATAGTCCTTGTCAACATTTTGACTTGGAAAAAGATGGTGCACTGATAAGTTTTGATAGCGGAAGGCATGATGGATCGGATTTAAGGGTAGGTCGACACTTTAAGAGTAAGGAAGAATTGCATATTAAATTGAGTCTTGTTGCCATCAATGGAAAGTTTGAAATAAAGGTAAAGAAGTCAACAAAAACGTTGAAGGAAGTTATTTGTGTTAATGAAAGTTGCTTATGGAGAGTACGTGCAGTAAATAGGTCAGGTTCAAATTTCTTTGTCATTCGACAGTATAACGGCATTCACACTTGCTCTTTGGTGAATCGATCAATCAACCACAGACAAGCATCCAGTTGCGTGATTGGAGCTAGGTTGCAGGGACACTTTAAGGAAAACAAAGAGCCCCCCAACCCAAAGAGTCTCATGGGATTCATGCGCGAGGAATTAAAAGTTCACGTTAGTTATTGGAAGGCATGGAGAGGAGGAAAATTTGCTCAAGATTTGGTGAGAGGGACCCCGGAACATGGCTTTGCCATGCTCCCATCATATTGTTACATTCTTAAAAAGGAAAATCCGGGCACGGTTACACACATTGAAGTTGATGCAGAAAATAAGTTCTTGTATTTTTTTATGGCTTTAGGAGTGGCAATAAGTGGGTTCAGATACATGAGAAAAGTGATTGGTATAGATGCATCTTTTGTCAAAACAAAATATAAGGGCATGTTAATAGTTGCATCTGCGCAAGACAGTGAGTATCATAGCTACCTGATTGCTTGGGCTTTGGTTGATATTGAGAAGAATGCATCGTGGACTTGGTTCTTAGAGAAGCTAAAGGAGTTGATACCTAACAGTTCGGAGCTTTGTTTCATTTCTGATAGGAATCAAAGTATCCAGAACTCAGTTAGTCGCGCGACCCGAGGCAAACCCGAGCGACCTTGGTGTCGTTCCTGTTTAGTTGGGGTCGCTGGCCAAAAGAATGTATGGACGACGTGATGGTCGTTCCTGTTCTTTTGGTGGTCGCTCGGTTGCTATTTCTTGGTCGCTCAGTTTCTTGCAATCTCAATACTAAACTCAATCTATCAAGAATATGGAATGTGATTAAATGCAAAATATCTAGAAAAAGATGTCAAAATGTAGAAAGTTGTCACATTAATCATCAACTACGGATCTGCATTATTAGCATAGAGCTGAATAGCGTAACACTTTCTAACTTCTAATATGTTTTGAACATTAAGGTACTCTCGTGCATTTTTATTGCACTTTTCAGCCAGGAGCATCTCTAATGTCTTTAACATGTAGACTCCACAGTCACCCCTGTTAAGTAAATTTACACATAAGTTTAGTCGTAATAAGAGACCATTTTTTATTAAAAAATTAAAATGTAAATGCAACTTACGTCTTTTTGTTGATAGGGGCAGTATCCTCTGCTGGTTGTGCTAATATCATCGGATGCTTGAATTTCTCCTCATAGCTTACAAATTTCTCTGACTTCTTAAATAAAAAGGGAAAGTACTCAAGATATGGTTTCACAGCAGCGTTCAAATCCGTGAGTGAAAGACAAGTAGGAATCGAGTCATAAACTGTTATGATCCAAGTTGAAACATCAACAACAAGTAATATCCAATGGCGGTTGAAACAGTTACATGGCACATAGAAACGACTAACTCCCGCTCAATCTCTTCCCCTACTTGGCCTAGCCCCTTTGTAATAGTCTTTCATCTCGTCTGTAATGTTAAAGTCTTTCTCCTGCTGAGTAATGTTGAAGTCTTTCACAGTATCCTCATATAATGCACACAAGGTCTGGGAAAAACAATCGCTGAGAATGCAGATATCTTTAGGAAAAATATCTGGAAACTTATCAATCCGTTTTCTGAACAAATACAAAATCTCATCCACATGCTGCAAAATTCAATTGATTACTAAATCAACAAATACAATTAATAATTTAAAAAGAAGAAACATACTTGATTATTAAAATAGAATAATAACTTACCTCGCTATTTAAGTAAGCACTATTGTGCAACATAATCTCAAAAAAGTGTCGATTTTGCATAGCGAGGCCGCATCGGATGGCGGGCCTGCCTTTGGTATCACTATTGAACCATTTCCAAAAGGCTTGTTTGTGTATTTCATAAGGCTGCCTGAAGGGTTCAAAAGTAGGTCGTTTTGACCTCGTGAATCGAACCCTCTTTGGCCACTCTAAATAAGGTGATAGCAAGGCTTGAGACCGCTTTTTCCTCCTCAATTGTCGACCATGATTCTCAAACTCGTCACCCTTTTCCACATAGCTCACTCCTTTATGAATAGGTGTAGGTGGAGTCACATAAGAACAGTCTTTTCCTGGTGTGGGCTCTTGGTTGGCGACGTCACCACTATTATCTCCGATCTGTTCGCCTTGTACGGGTTGTTCACAATAGGCATCACCACTACCAGCAGTGTGAGGACGGGAATCAAGGATGTTAAATAAAGTATCAATTCTAGTCATAACTAGATCGATCTTCGCCATAATCGCCTCATTTTCACTGGCAATAGCTAACCGAACGTTGGCCATTATTGACTCCTCATGCCTTGCAAGCAATGATCGTATCCTTTCCTCATGTTCACTCAAACGACAATAAAAAAGATGAAACATCTCTAAGGTCGGGCCATGCGTCTGGGTGGTGACATGGGGTGGCTAAGGGTGATCTAGAGGGTGTAAGTGGTCCTGAGAGCCAATAGGAGTTGATGTTGCAAAGGTTGGACCATGCGTTTGGGGGGCAACATGGGAGGTAAAGGCTGCAGAAGTCGTGTCATGGATCCGGTTGGTAGGGGGTGATACCGAGGGTGTAAGGGAGAAGGAGAGGGAGCAATGGGACTTGGTCTACGCTCCTCTTCCTCAAGTACGACACTTTGTATGATGACATCTCCTGCTAAAAACTCAGTGAGGCGATCAATGACTCTATCCACAAGATCCTCATGCATACTGAGACGTTGATAGTAGTCTTGTTCTCTTTCCTCTGTCGAAGGAGCCAGAGTAGGTCGTACAGTAAACTGGAAAAAAATGAAATGAGTAAAAACTATTAGACTAAAAATGATCAAACTAAATTTAAAACTGTAAAAGTCAGTTACAATTACCTCGGTCGACCTCATCAACTGCAAACATGGACGCCACAAGGTCCCCTTAGTGGTTTCCTTCAGCTGCCAACGGAATCACTGTGGAATATGCTTACCTTGATCTTCAAATTTTGCCAGGCTTTTTCCCAACTCAGGCATAGCCTCGAAAGCCCATGCCTAGAATGAAAAATATAACGAAATTAATAAAACAACCGAATAGTAAATTATATTTAACTTAAAAAAAAAAAGCTCAGAGTGAAAAGCTTACCTGAAATATCCATGGACATCCAAAAAGGTTATATTGTTCAGCCCCCTTCTTCTTCCCTTAACACCTATGCTTCCACCTTTCTGCGAAGTTTATCCACTTCAGGCTTGTAAGTGTCAAATTATAACATTCAATTCTCCACAGATATTGATCGAAGAATTTGAGGTCAGTGACGTATTTAAACCAAGATGGATTGATCTGCTTCTTCAAGTCTCCAGGCATCAAGAAGCCGGCTAACATGTAGACAAATGTCAATGGCACTCTATTCTTATTTTTGTCCTTTCCTTTGCTCAACTCTTCAAGTTTCTTAGAAACATCATCTAAGGTAACACCTTTTGCACCAGGTCAATACTTATTCATTAGTGATGCTTTATTCTTAAGAGATTCAATTTCTTCTCTACATGGACCACCACTTGTGTACAAGCCGGATATTAAAGCAAACTCATTGAGAGAGAACCTTAATGGTTTGCCCTCTGCTGAAAACCAAACCTCATGGTCCTTCTGGCATTCCAATCGCCTCAACAATAAATGATGTATTAATGCTCCTGAAAATTGCCCATCAGTAGGCAAGTCTAATAAGCGGCCAAGTTGAGGGAACCTCCGAAACTTAGCTTGTTCTTTATTTGTTAGCCAATTCTGAATATTTTTTATGACATTCAGTTGTGACCGAATGGTGATTTTACCTGAAAAGTCTTCCATGGTCACTATACGTGGAGGTAGTTCAGGCAGTTCTGACATGCAAATTGTTCTCCGTTTCTGTATTAATAGAGAAAAACCGCATATTCACACATAACTACCACTTTGATAGTACAGATCAACTACAGATTGTGTAACAAACATTGTGGAGGCCAAATAAGAAACAACCCCCTAATTGACATCACATAAGTAAAAAAGCAAAAAGACCCCAAATAACAAACCATAAAATAAGATTCTCCCAACTTTCCGATAGATCTAAATCTCACCAAAAAACTCATTAGCAACAACTGAATAAAAGGGAGAGGTTCGGCTTCAAAATCATAAAGAAGCTAATACAAGGACGGAGAGTGAACACACAGATGGTCATGCAATGCTACATTGAAGGACCAGATGTGTATTTATCTAGGTCAAGTTTCACAAATAATGGTCCTTCGAAATTTAAAGGGGAATATTTTACATCTAGCAGAAGTAATGAAGATGTCAAGATCCTGCTGCAGTGTACGTCGCCATTGTTATGGAGCAACAACAGTGCAGTCTTACTAGCAGCTGCAGGGGTGCACTGGATTATGGCTCCATGGGAGGATGTTAAACGAATTGTTAAACCACTATTGTTTGTCCTAAGATCCTCTAATGCCTCAAAATTTGTGGTAGTTAATCATTTCCTTAGCTTTCAGTTTTTGAAATTAATTGAGGTGTGGGTATGTTAATATGTTGTATGTTGCTTCCTTTACTAATCTTACGCGTTCTATGCCTGCATACTCTATTTTTAATTTTTCCTAGTTTTAGCAATCTTCATTTGAGAAAGAATGAAGCCCGAAGGCCTTATTGTTGTTTTTATTTATGCCACATTTTCTCTTTTAGTCTGCATTATATTGGTAAGTACCTTCCTTGGTCAGTAATGCTAAGATCTCTTTCATTATCAACCATCTTTTGTCGGTTTTCGGTGGATATTGCTAGTGAAGATTGTTTAATGGTTGATTTCTATCTGGTCCTCTGCAACATTCAAGTGTTTGCAAAAGCAATGCCTTCACATGCTCTTCAGATTCCTATCCTATAAAAGCTTTGAAGCTGGATATACTGGCTTTCATTGCTACAGATTTTTTCTGACCATTTTTCCCACTTATTTTATCAAATTGCCATTTTCTTGTTCATTTACTCCCCCTCTCACTCTATTTATCAAATTGACAAGGCAAATATAATGCTGATTTTCAGAAGAACATAACATATTAAACAAATAATATTTATAGGCATAATTTTTCCTATTAATTTATATGCAAAAGAAGATGATGAAGCACTCCAAAAAAAGGGAAAAAAAAGAAAAAAAAAACACAATCTGTAGTTCAATCGCAAAAAATCATTATGAAAGAAAACCTTACTTGTTCTTGGGCTTGAGGTGATGGCGGCAGTGGCGGCGGCAAAGTCGAAAGTAGAGGCGGCGGCTATGGGGAAGACGGCAATGGCTGCAACGAAAGGGCCGACGAAGGCAATGAAAAATGCAGGGGTGAGTACGTGCGAAAAGCTCCTTCCTCCGGCATGGTCGTGTTCTCTTCTTCGGTGGCCATGAACTCCTGCATAAGGGAAGAGGAGATCTCGGAGGTTCTGAAGAGGGAGAGAGAGGGGGATGAGGATTTTGGGTCCTTCTCTTGCGTTCTTAGTCGTTCATTCCTCTTAGGGTTTTTTTTTTTTTTTTTGAGAGGGCTGCGTGAGGGCTCAAAGAAGGGAGGAGAATGAGGAGAGAAGGAGGAGAGGAGAGCTAGAATTTGGAGAATTTGGCGCTCATTTGGGAGAATTTGGCCTCGAGCTTCTCGAGAAGCAGGCCTTTGTGTTTTTTTCTTCAATTAAATTCTAATTTCAATTTTTGTTAATAATAATACTCAATTAATAGATAAATACCTATTAAATATATAATTAAAAATTTATTCAAATAAAATAAATAAAA